CTTTAAATTTGGGGGGGGGTCTGATTTTTTTGAGTTCTTTATATATTCTAGATAGTAGTCCTTTGTCTGAGGAACAGCTGGCAAAATTTTTTTCCACACAGTATGGGTTGTTTCTTTACTCTGTTGGTGATTTTTGCTGCACAAAAGCTTTTTTAATAGTATTAGATCCCAGTTGTTGATTCTTTGTGATAGTTCCTGTGTGATTGGGATTCTGTTCATAAAGTCTGCCTAGACCAATGTCTTCAAGAGTTCCACCTATTCTCTCTTCCAGCAGATTTAGTGTTTCTATTTTAATATTCAGATCTCTGATCCATTTCAATTATAGTTTAATGCATGGTGAAAGATTTGGATCTAGTTTTAATCTTTAGCACATGGAAAGCCGGTTTTTCCAGCACCATTTATTAATTAGGTTCTTTCTTCCAGTGAAGGTAGTTGGCACCTTTGTCAAAGATAAGGTGGCTGTTTCTGCATCTTCTAGTCTGTTCCACTGATCCTTGGGTCTGTTTTTTTTTTTTTTTTTGCCTGTACTATGCTTTGTTGTTGTTGTTTTTTAATCACAGTAGCTTTGTAGTATAATTTCAAGTCAGGGATTGTGATGCCCTCTGCCTTGCCTTTGTTACCCAGAACTGCCTTTGCTATTGTAGGTCTCTTCTGGTTCCAGATGAATTTTAGGATTGTTTTCTCTAGTTCTGTGAGATATACTATTGGAATTTTTTTTTTTTTTACTATTGCAATTTTGATTGAAATTGCATTAAATCTGTATTAGTTTTGGCTGGGCATGGTGGCACACACCTGTAATCCCAGCACTTGGGAGGCTGAGGCAGGAGGATTGTTGTGAGTTCAAGGGCAGCCTGAGCTACAAAGTGAGCTCAAGGCCAGCCTGAACTGCATAGTGAGACCCTGTCTCAAAAAGACAGAAAAAAAAAATCTATATTAGTTTTGGAAGAATGGCCATTTTCAATATATTGGTTCTTCCTATCCAAGAACAAGGGATATATTTCCATTTTCTTATATCCTCTTCAATCTCTTTTTTCAGAGTACTATAGTTTTCAATGAAGA